CACCATGTTATAACATGGGAACTGAAGGAGCCAGGGTCAAAGTAAATGGTAGAATAAATTTTTTTTAGGGTAGCCCAAACTTTTTCGAGGTTTCATCGCAACATAAAATGAAATCTTCTGAAAAAAAAATTACATTACTAAATTTTTTTTGGAAGGGCATCCCGAGCTACCCCAGACTCTACAATGGATCCACCCCTAGGAACACCACCCCCACTTCATGTTATAACATGTTGGAATGAGAGGTGACATTACTTAGTTTCATAACACCATTGACCAAACCCTACACCTTATCCATTTAAGGATACAAGTTTGTCACTATGGAGTTTTAGGGTTCATACACTATGATGTTGTATGTAATTCATCAGGTGAGCAACCACTCAATTGTTGGATGTTGATCTTGCTTGGGTGTGAATACTTATTAAAGAAGTATATTTTGGTTACTTTGCAATATGTGAATACACAACCATGTTATAGTTAGCATAACAACTCGATGTAAAGTGTTATATAAACATTATATGGTTATGCTATAGGTTTTTGTATGGTCCCTTATATGATTTCGTTGATTGTGTTTTCATTCCCGTATATGTATTTTTTTCTTCTATTTATGTAATCGTTTTGCACCATGTGAAACCTAACAATGTTCAGTTGGTGACCAAGACGTGATTGCATATCTATGCAAATTGTTTTTTGGCCTCGTATATGGAAAACAAATAATCATAAAAGGATATTGTATATGGATATGTTGCTAACCGCAACACTATGACAAATGTGGCATCCTTCGTGTTTTTTCTTTAGTTTTTGTTATCAATCTTTAGATCTAACTTTATGGATTTGATATAAATATATGATGTATGTTTTACCTTAGCATTTTACCAAAGACATTGTGGTTGTAATTTTATAGGTACAACATGTTTTATCTTTTTGTTGTATATTTTGGTATGACATGTGTGTCATTTAGCTTTTTATAATGTGGAAGTATTACAATACATGTTTTTCGTTTTGTTATAACCTAGACGAGTCTTATAATCAATAATATGACAATACGTGAATACAATGGTCTTAGATTTCATGAAGATGTAATGAATATCGCAAGCCCGTATGTAAAATGATTAAATTGTGTAACGTTTTTATGTAAAAAATGATGTGTTTAATTTGAACATGGACAATGTTATGGCTTTCTTGTTTACCAGCTTTGATCCAATTTGATATTATCGATTGCATTCCCCGTATACAATACCCAAAACAAAATATGATTTTGAAAACTATAATTTTTATAAACCTAAATAAGTAAAATAATAGTTACTCACTAAAATAAGTATTTTATCCAACTTTGGATCACTCATTGTCTTTTTTTCACCATTTTATAAATGTTTGAAGAAGCCAATGAGATTTCCAATTGCATGTTTGAAGCTTCAATGTAATACATGCTATTTGGGGCTAAAAAATTTAGTAGTAAAATGTTATATTAATTAATTTTAACAATATTAAAAGTATTAATATAAGTGATTTTCAAGAATAAAGATGTCGATGAGTTTAAAGGAGGAAATACATGATATGTAACTTGTACTTTGCTATCACTTTATGTATGTATTATGAACATTATATGGTTGTGCTTTAGTTTTTTTTATATAGGCGTCAGTATGATCTAGTTGTTTGGCCTTTCAGTTTTGTCTGTATTTATTTTTCGTTATATTTGTGTAACGATTTTTGCACCATGTGAAAACTAACATTGTTTTATAGCCTTCCACAATGACCCTTCTTATAAAAAAGGTGGTTACATGGCCATTCAAATTGTGGTTTGCCCTCCGATATGAAATCGTGAAAACCCCGCATTTAGGCTTGTAAGTCCCAAATTCTCCTACGTATCAATCGGATTCACTTTGATGGTGCAGAATCCCGATCAAAGTGTATAATGCAAGATATAAGATGAATAAGAACACAAAATGAATCTTCAATACACACGATATATTGATTAATCGTCTGGTACACAAGATTCCGATTACACATGGTTTTCTCTCTATTTCACTCTAGATCTCGTTCTTGGCTTATGGCAGCCCCCAAAAACGTCCCACACCACTTACAAGGCTCAAATGACACTATTTATACCTAGACCTAATAACCAAGCCTAAGCCCAAAACCCAAACAAAACAACATCAAGCCCAACCGAAATCACATGTGATTTCGGTCCAAACAACACCAAAACATGGTGTTTTCGGTCCTAGACCGAGAACTCTAGTAGCTTATGAAAAGCAAAGTATAAACCACAATTTATGACCTAACAATCTCCCCCTTGGTTTATAACTTTCTTTTCACTTAGAATAAACCATAATTTAGTCCTATCAATCTCCCAATTGGTTTATTGCTTTCTTTTCTTTTCAGTCTTCCTTGATCTTTGGCTTTCAGCTCTAATTGATTTCTTAAGGGTTTTTGGTCCTTTTTGATAGTATATCGTTCATATTTAAGGTCCTCAATTTCCCTAATTAATAATTCATATTGATCACGATAAGATTTAATTTTAGCTTCACAGGACTGAGAGCATGAAGCTTCATTAACCTTGGTGATTGAAGAACTCATTATTCACCAAAAAGAATAATTTACCAAAAGTAGAACTGATTGTGAAACCAAGAAAAATGCCCTTTGACTTGAAACCTCGGACGTCAAACTTGAAAACTTGAATTTCAAAGTTGAAAATCAAACTTGAAAGTCAAAGTTGAATTTGAAAGTCAAAAGTCAAAAGTCAAATTTGAAAGTCAAAGTTGAAAGTCAAAAGTTGAAAGACAAACTTTTTGTCCAAAAAAAAATAAAATAACCTTAAACGAAAACAAAAGTTTCTAGATCGAAAATGAAATTTTAAGACAAAAAACGAGAGTATTTGACCAAATGCGAAGCTTAACGACCGAAAACAAAGTTATTTGATCGAAAATATGACTTTTGGACTGAAAATAAGCCAAAAACTTGAAAATCCGAAATTACAGCCGAGGATGCGAGGGGCTGAAAATCCATACCGAGGACAGGCCGAAATCTCGGACCGAAATCGAGAGAAACTGAGAACCGAAGCCGAGAAGTCCAAACCGAAATCAGTCGCACCGGGAACAGAAGTTACGGACCGAAAACTCTCGCTCCGAGAACTTTGCATCGATCGAAAACCTTCGCTGCTGACCGTGAACGCTGTTGTGCCTCCGAGATTTTCTAGGTTTGACCGAGGACCGAGGAGTGCCGTCGGAATCTCGCAAATTTCGACCAAAATCCCCCAAAACTTGCCAAAAACGCAAAATTTTCAACTTTTTAATGCCAAACTCGATCAAAACTCCAAAATAATGAAGAACATGTAGAACACTGGCCAAAATTTTGTCAAAAATAAAATAAAAACACCAAGAAACTCCTAGAAAAACTCTTAAAAATATTTTGCAATAACCCGATTGCTACCAATCGTTGCTTTGATACCACTTGTAAGTCTCAAATTCTCCTACGTATCAATCGGATTCACTTTGATGGTGCGGAATCCAATCAAAGTGTATAATGCAAGATATAAGATGAATAAGAACACAAAATGAATCTTTAATGCACACGATATATTGATTAATCGTCCGGTACACAAGATTTTGATTACACATGGTTTTCTCTCTATTTCACTCTAAATCTCGTTCTTGGCTTATGGCAGCCCCCAAAAACGTCCCACACCACTTACAACACTCAAATGACGCTATTTATACCTAGACCTAATAACCAAGCCCAAGCCTAAAACCCAAACAAAACAACATTAAGCCCAACCGAAATCACATGTGATTTCTGTCCAAACAACACCAAAACATGGTGTTGTCGGTCCTAGACCGAGAACTCTAGTAGCTTATGAAAATCAAAGTATAAACCACAATTTATGACCTAACAATGCTAAACGACTAAATCCTAATGGAAAACTTCATTTAATCCATACCTATTGAAATACAATCCTACCATTCTACAATAACAATTTTAACACCATTACATGTGGTTTTAGGTTCGTATACTATTACATCGTAAGATATTTATCAAGTGATCTGACATTAAATTATTAGACGCTAATCCTGCCTATATGTAGATACAAATATATGGAGTATATTTTGATTCCTTTATAACACATTGGCATTCAACCCTACTACAAATGGATTTAACATCTGAACATAAGTGGTATATAAACATCATATGTTTGTGCTTTAGTTGCTTATGTAGTTTTGTGACCATGTCATTGCTCGAGTTCTCATTTTTGCTTGTATTTAATTTTTGTTGTGTTTTTGTAAGCATTTTGCATCCTACAAAACCAACACTTACAACCCATTATTTTCGTTATGATTATGCCATCAAGTGATATCAAATCTAATTTGCAATGATTGAATGGGTAAAGAGCCCACTAAGACATGAAAAAGAATATGAGACAACTCTAATTTTTATTTCAAAGCGTCTTATGATTGATCAAGACCACTATTTTATTTTGGGTCATTGTCACTATAGCCCAACAATGTTTCGTATTTGATTTAAATAGTCCCTCGTGATTTTTTTGTTTTTGTTTTTGTTTTTGTTTTTTATTATTATTATTATTATTATTATTATTAATATTGCATTCTAAGGGTACGAATTCAGGTTTTAAGGTTTAAAATGTCATTTTGAAAAAATTGAAGGGTCATCCGGTAAACTTTTCCTAGTCAGCAGGTTTAATATGCAAAGTCAATGATTTAACTCCCACCTTAATTGCCACGTCATAGGGCCGACAATAACCCTAAATTCAACAGTGATGGCCATGAAATCAACGAAGACTCCCTCTGCTTCTTGTTTTAGAGAAAATCAATAATCACGTATGAATTGCATCACAAGAAATCGGAGGTTCAAATCATAAAAGATAGCAGCGTATCTTCTGATTTCAATCAACATTCTTTTGGTTCTTCACTTTGTTCTTAATGACTCGGTTTTTTTCCAGTCTTCAATCAAGGATTTATGTTGAAGTTGTTGAAGGGTGTCCCTTAGCTCTATATGGAAATGAGAAATAATCGAAGAGTGTAGGCTTTTAAGCATACAAATTCAAGGCCGGGGGGCATTAGAATGGCGCCGATGTAAGGTTGAGCTTGTATAATGAAGGTGAGACATGGACCCATTCGCTGTCTGACCTCAGAAAACTCTCCCTGAAACTCCGCCTCCCCAAAATCGGTGGCCATTGCCTTCATCACATGGCTTATCCATTTGACCACAGATTTCCCCAAATCTTTCCGGCCAAGAGGACCACTATTTTGGGATAAACTACGCAAGCTGACTGGTCTGTCTGTGGGTTTATCTACCTGCTTTCCTCTAATTTCTGAGTAATTATCATCCACCACAGGTTTACCGGTGATTTCCGTACGTGAGATATTGTTACGCCCGAGTTTTTTGTTGTAGTTGTTGGTGCCGGTGTGTCGTCGCCTCTTGGTGGTGCTGATACTGACAACTGTTTTCTTATCGGAACCGTTCTTGATGTTGAATCGTAACAGAAACATCCAAGATGATTGCGAAGGGGAGCATCCTTGAAAGGAAGAAGATGAGAATGAGGAAATTTTCAAGTCAAAGTGAGGAAATCGGAGGAGGGTTGGCGACGCTGCTATCCTTCATCTTTCAATACCCACAATTCTATTTGCTGTTACACTCACACCTCCCACATGAGAGCCGCTTACCTGCATCACCATCTGGATCGTGTTCATGTTCTGTATGCTTATACCTCCGGCAATTCCGCCATGTCCGATTGTCGTATTGGAGAATATTTAACTAAGCAGCAGGCAAAAACCTCATCCACTCCTTGAATGGGAAGGTGGAAGCTGCGTGGCAAAGGAATCTCCTTTCTTTTTTATTCAAAATTTTAAGAGGAAGATAAAGATTCTTGTAAATGTAACGGTCTCCTCTTATTAATTTTAGAGATGACCCTGGTCATAAAAATGGAAGAAATACAAAAGCTCCCCCACGGTTTAAGAGGGATCACAAGTTGGGTAATGAAAATGTATTCACAGTTCTTTGATCTTGTTTCAGGTTTATAAGAATACTGATGTAGAAAGGGAAGACCAGAACAAAATGCAATGTGGGTTTAAGCTTGAATTTAAATGAAGGTGAAGGAGATGGAGATGATGTAGAAAGGGAAGACCAGAACAAAATGCAATGTGGGTTTAAGCTTGAATTTAAATGAAGGTGAAGGAGATGGAGACAGTGGTGGTGATGATGAACAAGGCATATTAAAAGAGGGCCCCACGAATTTAGTAACAAATTTACGTGACAACGATCCGGGTCATTGTTGACTCACCTGCTTAATTGACAATTGACAATGCAGTGTAACCTTCAAAAACAGGTAAATGTACGAAATTAACAGGTAAAACACAAGTTCATACCATTCAAAGGAAAAAAAAAATTACGAAGAACCATTTAAACCAATATACAAAACATTGTTGGGATACAGTGACAAAACCATTTTATTTTTCAATGATTAAATATCTAATCATCTCACTTGATGATTAACTTAATTTATAAGAACGAAAAAACATTGAATTATTTATGACTTTTATATTTAAAAAAATATCACATTATATTGTACATTTAAGATGCATTGATGGTAGATGCATATGTACATGCTTCTCGTATACCCATAGTGCATGATGAACTATGTGGTATATGTTATCATAAAGCATACAATGTCATGTCCTTTAAGGGAACATATAATCAGATTCATTATGATATTGTCATCGTCATATGAAATGGTCCTCACTAATAATTTATTACGAACAAATTATTTTGTCATAAGCCTTTTGGTCGTTATATAATGTTACATATAATGTTACATGTGTATATGATCGACTACAATTTTGAGATTTAATTAACTGTGTAACACCACTTGAATTTTTTTATATGTTTGCCATTCTATGTCATAGTTTCTGGAAGTAACTATTATTCTCAAAGAACTACTATAACTATTAGTTACAATTTGCAATCACACATAACAATTGCAATTATTCTTGCAAAAACACAAACCAATAGTACAACATACGTTAAAAAAAGAAAATAAATCCAATATTGCAATACGGTATTTTTTTTTGTTAAATCCATGAAAATGGAGAAGTATTATGCTAGGATGTTGTTAGTAACTAAATTGTGAAGCATTGTCAAAGATCTCATATAGAATCAAAGTAAGGAATCGGTTTTGACTTTTTTATAAACCTTTGTTTAACTATTATTCTATTAAACAAAATGTTGTTTAGATTAATTGTGTTAAGTATAAATTAAAAATTCTATTTCTAATTTTCTATAACCCGTGGTTTATTAAAATGATTTTCTAAATCTATTTTAAAAGTCAAGAAGAAAGTAAAAACTATAATAGAAAACGATATTTAGTAAAGTGGAGAATCATATCAACAAAGTCATGAAGTTTGACTGGGCCGTGAGCTGTAATACGGCCCAAAACATTGAATTTAGGGTTTTCAGCGCATCCGCCTCTATTTATATTTCACATCGCAATGCTTTTTTTCATATCCTTCGTCTGCGATCTTCGGGGAGTTATTCAGGTTCAGGAAGGTTTTTTTTATTTTTTATTTTTTATTTCGAAGATATTAAATCGTTATGTTTTCTTTTAATTTTAATCTGGTTTCAGTTTTTAAAATTAGATTTCTGTTTAGATTTTTTTGTTTGATTTTGCTATGAGGAAATCGTAACTGCTCCAGAAACATGAGTTAATCTTGTCGCTGATGGCAGCACCTCTAAGAAGTTCTGAGCAATCATCAGTTAATCGTTTCGATTTTTTCTACAATTTCATGTTAATTCGATCTTCTTTTTTGTATAAAGCGAAGTGACGATATAATTCAATGCTCTGTCAATCCTCTGACAAATTTTGATTGATGTTAAACTTTGAATCTCGACAGGTTCCGATCGCTTTTTATGTTAATTTTTCCATTATATACGAATACAAGGATATAATCTGTTTTCGTGTTTTTTAAAATTTAGTATTTTTAATTATTTTTGTATAAAGCGAAGTGACGATAAAATTCAATGCTCTGTCAATCCTCTGACAAACTTTGATTGATGTTAAACTTTGAATCTCGACAGGTTCTGATCGCTTATCATATTATTCTTATTATTTTCTTTTAAAATAGCAAAGATAATCGCTTATCTGTGTTTATTGTAATACATTTTGGCATATGATGAATCTCAATTAACAAATGGGTAATTTGCGACTGAAAGCTTTTTTTGATGCTATCACCTTGGAGAACTGATGCCAACTATTTTTTATAAGCGAATCGATATCATTTTCTTTTTATGTTCAATATATTTAGTTATAAATTTACACTTGTTCGATAGTTAACAAAACTTTTTGTAAATATAAGTTTTATTTTTTGAATATCTTATGGTTTAGAATAATTTGCGCTTTTGGTTTTTAACTTATTTTTATTCTCCACTTTTTGTTTTTGTTACGGGATTGGTTCATTTCTTTTCTAAAAAGATTTTTTTGCCATTGATTTTTTAATTTATTTAAATAAACACATCTTACCTACTCCTATATTTTTTTCTATTTTAATAATAGTGTTTTTAGGTAAGATAGAGACCAAGTGCGTAATAAAAAAAACAGTAGGGACCAAGCGCGTAATAAAAACAAACAATAGGACCTTCTGACTTAAAAAAATAAGTTAGCGACCAAACGTGCAATTTACATAAAGAAGAATTATGTCTTGGGTTTAAAAGTTTAAAAATGTAATTTGTTCGAATTCGAATTAAAAATTAACATTTTATTAAAATAAATTACTTGAATTAAAATAAAATTAAAAAAGTTTAATCATGTAATTTTTTAGAGTTCGAATTTAATATTAAAGTTCTTTTAAAATATTTTATTAATACTTAGTTAAATTTTGTGGAATTTAATCTTTTTTAAGTGTTTGAAATTTTAGTATGAAAATTAGTTTGCAATATGAATTCCGTAGTCAAGGATGTTATTTTGGAGTCGGCCAAAAATTATTTTTTTATGGAATTCCTATTCTAAAAAAAGTTAGTTATGCTTAATAAATGATTTTGGTTATTTTTAGGGAAAATAACTATTGAGGTTAATTAACTTTTGTGTTTGTACTTATTTGGTTCTTTTTTTTTTTTTTTGTATTCATTATATCATCGAACTTGTTGTTTGTGATCATCATAACCATTTTGACCGGCTTTTGACCTGTGATAGTCGGTCAAAGGTTTATGGTGAACACAAACAACAAGTTCGATAGTATATTGAGTACAAAAAAAAGAAAAGGATCAAATGAGAACAAATGCAACAGTTGGTTACCCTTATGATTCATTTTTCCTTTACTCATTTTACAACAAATCTCAAGTAATTAATGACTTTATGAGATTCATTCTTGCTTCTCTTCAAAACATAACCCACGAAATAAAATTATTCATACATGTATAACTTTGTAACGTACTAGAATATTTATTAGGGAATCTTGACTAAGCAGACGCATTTCATGCCTACATTTACATTTTCAATCAAATGATTTATCGTATCATAGATTCTAGACAAGTATATAAACGAGTGGAATCACAAGTGCTGTGATTTTTGAGTTTACTTATCGAATTCATGGGATAAGATACAACATCATTATGTATAATATCATGCTGCTTTTGTAGACACATCACCATAGTATATATTGAGATAAACGTTTATGCTGATAAATCCTCTCATACACAATCATATCCTTTTGCAGAGAGGTGTTGACAGCTAACCACAGTAACATAAACCATGTTTTAACGAGGTTACCCCTTTGAAACGCTCTTGATATACGTTATAGCCAAAGAAGGTTGCAGTCTTTGATAATTTTGCAACTTTAATTCCATTTAACTTTTCGGGGAAAATGACCCAGGAGGGTAACCGACTGTTAAGTTCGTTCTCATTTGGTCCCTTTCCTTTTTTTGGTACTCAATATACCATCGAACTTGTTGTGTGTGTTTCACTATAACCCTTTGACCGGCTATCACATGTCAAAAGCCGGTTAAAATGGTTATGGTGAACGCAAACAACAAGTTCGATGGTATATTGAATACAAAAAAAAAAAGACCAAATGAGTACAAACGTAAAAGTTAATTACCTTGAAGAGTCATTTTCCTTTATTTTTATTTTCAAATATCTAGGAGTAGGACTATAAATAATTGATTGAACTTGAATATGACCTGGTTTATGTATGTTTGTTTAAATTAGCTGAACACAAGCGGTTAAACAAATGTAATACAAAACTATTGGTTATATACGAACATAATTACTTAAACGAACAAACAAAATAAAACTTAAACGCACAATATAAACAAATGTTAAGGGAACATAACCTATTCTTTGTGTTTTTTGTTCGTGTCTGTTAATCTATTGAATAAAACTTATTTTAGTAAGAATATAAATCAAAAGTGTTATTAAGGGAACAGAACTAATAAGCATTAAGAACAAATTCCGTCAGGTGAAGAAACACAAGCAGCAAGTGAAAGCATTGGCAAAAAACCT